GCTAACTTGACACCCATGACCGCTTAAGTCATCCTAGCAAATATAGTGATTCAGAAAGCAAAGCAAAGCAAAATCTAAACAAAACAATCTATGGTAGTGTGGTTATTTGAATGTCATTGGCCGTCCTAAGATCATTGGTAGTGGAACTACTAGGAGGTGTGGCCCTGTTGGAGTATATATGACATTGCTGGATGAAGTGTGTCCCAGTCCACTTCCTTTTGCCTCTGGATCAAGAGGCAGAACTCTCAGCTCCTTCTCCAGCACCATGTCTACCTGCTCACCACTATGTTTTCTTCCATGAGAATAATGAGATAAACTTCTGAAACTGTAAGGCAGCCCTAAATTAATGTTTTCCTTTATAGAGTTGCCAAGGTCATGGTGTCTCTTTAGAGCAATAGAACCCCAACTAAGACAGAAGTTGGTACCAGAAGTGGGGTATTGATGTGGTAGGCCAGACCATGTTTTGTTTGGGAGATTATGGACTTTGGGACAATGGATTAGAAAATCAGTTGAAAGCTTTAAGTGGGCCTTAATGGGCTATCCTATTAGGATTATGGAAGATAATGGTGCTGAGGGTGATTTGAACTGTGCGGCCTTGCTTAAGAGGTCTCAGAAGAGAAGAATTATTTTCTATTTAAAATAAGTTTTTATTCATTTTACATACCAACCACAGATCTCCCTCTCATCCTTCCTCCCATTCCCCACTCCACCTTCCCCTCCGGCCCATCCCTCATACTCTCCTCCAAAAGTTAAGTCCTCCTATAGGGGAAGAGCAAAGCCTGGTACATTAATTTAGGTAGGACCAAACCCCTTCCCCCTGCATCAAGGGTAAACAAGGTGTCCTACCATACGTAATGGATTCCAGAAAGCCAGCTCATTCATCAGGGACAGATAATGATCCCACTGCCAAGGACCCCTCAAACAGACCCAACTACACAACTGTTTCCCACATGCAGATGGTCTAGTCCAGTCCCATGCATGTTCTGCCACTGTCGGTCTAAAGTTCATGAGTTCCTATGAGCTTGCCTCAGTTGTCTTTGAAGATTTCCCCATCATGATCTTGACTCCCTCCATGAGTAAACTATGGATGAAGGTGGGCAATAGAGGGGAGGAGGTGGGAGTTGAGAACATGAGAGAATGGAATGGTTGAGCTGGGGAAGGGACAGAGAGGGAAAGCAATGAAAGAGATATCTTGATAAAGGAAACAGTATAGAGTAAAGAAGAAACCTGGTGCTAGGGAAATTCCTAGGAACTTACAAGAATGACCCCAGATTAGACTACTAGCAATAGTGGAGAAGGTACCTGAAGGTGGCATAACCTGGTGATCAGATTGGTGAATGCCCTGTCATCATAGAGCCTTCATCCAGTAACTGATGGAAGCAGATGCAGAGATCCACAACCAAACACCAGGCCAAGCCCCAGGAGCCTAGTGGAAGAGGGAAGAGGGACTATATGAGGAGAAGAATTTCAGTGTGTTGTTTAGAGATCTTTCTTGTGATACTTTGGTGAAGAATGTGGCTGCTTTTTGCCATTTTCTGGAGTCTGCCTGAGTGAAGAGATTTGAATTAATTCCATTGACAGCAGAAATCTCAAAATAGCCTAGTATAAACTCTGTCATATAGTTATTAGTGTTGTGGCTTTCAAAGATTGACTGCTATATTCAATTGATCTAAATTTTATAACTTTATACAAGAGGTTTTGATTGTTATAATAGCCACATCAATGGGTTGCTGGAAAGACTAAACTTATACATGTAGAGTTATTTGAGTAATGCCTGGTCGAGGATGGTGATGATAATGATAATGATGATCATGGTGATGGTATAAATGGTGGTGGTGATGGTGGGAATAGTGAGGATGGTTATAACAAAAATGTAAAAACTAGTTTGTGGTAAACATCAATTTGTTGTGACCCTTAATTTGAATGCTCTAAAAATGACTTTTTAATTCAAAAAACCATGTTTCATCTTTTATAGCTCATTGTCCCTAAATAATAATGATATTTTTATAAAATTATGTAAGTCAGTTTCTAAGCTCACAGTCTTGCCTAACATTTCAGAAACTCATCAGTGTTCTCTTCCTCCTTTGTCTTCTTTTCTATATTCTTGACTAGGTTAGACTTGGCTACTTGACACTTATCTTTGCTGTGCTCATTAGATTATATGAAAAGAAGAGTAAAGCCGATAATGCAGACTAGGGGAACATCAGCTTAATAGAGATGCCTCCAATCCAGGGCACATTTTGAGAAAGCTGAAAAAACACCCTGTGGAGTATTGCTTTGAATCTGATCAAGTACAGTTTCATTACTTCTGTTTTTCACAGTCAGCTCACTATGAATCTATAGTTATTTCATGACCTTCAAGATTTCCATTCTGCTGCCATCTTTCGACTCTCCATAGGATCCATTTCAAATCAGGAATATTCCTTGACCGTAATGTGAATTTTTCAGAAGCATCTTTGCACCAGTTTCTGTAACAGACAATTGACCAGTTAGACTCATGAGACTTAGGACCAGTACTCATCATGATCCAAGCACCCAAAACAAGTAGTAAGGTGATATGGCACAGGCCATTTTTAGATAATATGTGTTATTGCCTAGGAGGCAATGGCTTTGAAAGCAGTGTGATGAGTATACACAAAGCCATTTTTGAATATTGTTTGTTAGAGTCTGCATTTGCCTCTAAAAATAAGATTAATAGATAATGATTTGTTGTTTGAGGAGTGTGTTAAATAGAAATCACATATATACTGAGAAACACATATTTAACCACTATATCCATGCTCCTTGCTAGGCAAAGTCAAAGAAAGATCCGAAGTCCTGTTAGATATCAAAGAAAACTGTTATTAGAATTGTGTATCAGTATTCCTGCTTTCAAGCTTTCAGTCTTTAAGGTTGAAGAAGAATCATGGAAAATGAATAGGAAAGCCATTCTGCATTGCTAAGGCATGCAGGAAAGAAAGTAAAGGACATACCAGATTTATAGGATGAAGATGTATGTATATGTGTGCATATGTACTTATTTGTACTTGTGTGCATGTGTATGTGTGTGTGTTTGTATGTGTGTGAATATGTGTCTATATTGCTCTCAAGTAGTTTAGTAGCAGCAAGTATCTAGAGAATGAGAAAGCTAATTGATTAAAAAAGGACAGAAAAGAGATTGGAAAAGATGTAACTCAATCATATGGTACATAAGGAGAACTCCTAAATAGTGTAACATGTATCATATAAAGGATCTCCAGATATTGAGACCAAGAGAAAGGAAGTAAGAAAGGGACCTAGAAAGAATAATACTTAAGATGGAGTCCAGGGCCTTCATTTCCACTATCCCTGTTGGATTTCATTCTTATGCAAAACAATTGAACTGAACAGAATGTCTACTGTAAAGATCAAAAACTAGTGGTGGGAAGTCTGAGGAGGCACACTCAGTACAGACCATATGAAAGAAAACAATCCATGGATAAACAAATGAAGTAGCCAACGACAAGAAGTAAACAGAACGATGGGCAGCATTAAGGTCCCGTTTATGCTGAATGCAATGAATTTATTGATGACAACAGGCAAGGCTTGGTGAGTGCCACCAATACTGTCTTGCTCCTTGCCTTTAGGGAGAATCACTTTCCATGATGCACTCTCAGTTATGTTTACACTCTTTCCAGAAGAGAAGAGACAGCTCAGAGCCTTTGCAACACTGAGGTTCAGGCTGGCAAGGTTGACAGACAAAACTGTTTAGGGGAAAATGAGAAGCTCACTATCAGGGTGGGTACATTGTCAAAGCCGAGGGCTTTGGGAAGTTGAAGGATTTGGATAGAGGGGTTATTAATCCCAAAGAAGTTATAACTATGACAGTTAATATTATAATATGAGATTGTAGGAATGACTGACGGGAGGAGCAAGGTTAAGATCTCAGGGCTGAAACATAAGGAGGTTGTTGCTAATAGACAGTGACTTTGATTGTGGCCCAAGATCTGGCATATCTTTCAGAAATGAAGATCGGCACTGACTAGCCTTTTGTTTAATTGCTTCTCATTGTGTTCTATTTTTCTCTTCCCCTGTATCACGTTGCTTCAATTTGCAGTCCCATAAACAACACTATGTAACCTTACAGGCAGTGAGTTTTCCCTTTCTTCAGTGTGAATTTATCTGCATTTTGCACAGACTGTGTAATTTCTTGGATCAGGAGAGAGTATATCCAAGTGTGGCCTGCTTGCTGAAATTTGGCATCAAGAGACAGGCACAACCACAGGGAAAAGAAAGGATGCAAAGTCTGTAATCTCTGTCCTGGAGTCTTTGGAGAGAGGTTTCCATGATGTACCACCGTCAAAGATACCCCTAAGTGTACCTTCAAAGGAGGGATTTAGAAGATGGATTTTTCCCTCTGAGTCAGTGATGTTGAGGATTCTGACTCACGCTGTAGGTCAGATGCCATGCTAACAGTGAGATTTTCTAATACTGTACACCCTGATGACAATTGTCTCTGCTTTACTTCTGTAATCCTTCTCCCTTTGGGGACTAGCTATTGGGTAGAAATAAGTTTCTAGGGAGGAAGATTTCAGGTTCATAGGATTTTCAGGGTATGGAAGCATGTAAAAGACGTGGCTTGAAGGTAAAAGCTGCTAGCTTTTAAGCTGGAACAGAGCCTCCCACCTGCTTGCTTTCAAATAAGGTGTCTCTGGATAGTAAAAACAAACAGCCTGAGAACACTGAGTGTAGTGTGGGGAGGAAAGTCCTTCTCTGGGCCAAACCTGCAACCAAGGCTATTGCCTGCCACAACTTGCCTCCTTGCTCCTTTGTTCCTGTCCATGGTGCTAATGATCCTGATTTGTCCTGGGCACCCTGGTTTTGGAAGAGATACCCGCATTCAGGGATGGTAGACACAGTGCATCTTTCTGTCTGGGGTGCTCAGAACGGAGTTCGCATCCGCCCACATAGCCTCGAGGTCCTCCCCACCAACAATGTTTTCTCACAGGTTGCTGTCCTGTGTTCTCAAGCCTAGAGGACTTTGTCACCATCTGAAGCTGTTGCTTTTACTACCAGGCTCCTGGAGGCCGTACTCGCCTTTTTCCTAGCACGTCTGTCCGGAGCTGACCTGGGAGGCCCCGCCAGCTGCAGCCCTGCGCCTGGCTCTTCTGCCTGACCTGCACTCTGGGGACGCGCCAGGCTGTTTGGCCGCCGTATCCACTGGCAATCTGTTCAAGAAAATAGACCTGAACGTGTTGCCGGGAGCTGCCCCAGCTTCGGCATCCTGCTGCCATCTAGGGACCAAATGCGGTGTCCTCTGTGCTCTGGCTCCTGAATGTACCACTAAGTCTGGGCGGGCCCCGGACATCCTCTGTGAACCTAAGCTGGGCATCCGAGGTCCATTCAGGACAGTCCCCTGCCTCAGTTAGCCTCGTCGGACTTCGCTGACGTCACCCTGGCTGAGACCCACCAGACTGAAGCCGCAAAGAGGGAAGTAACACAGACAAAGGCAGTGAGAAGAAAGACAGAGAGCAAACAGCTAGGGAGACAGGAGCAAAGGCTGCAAGAACAGACACAAAGAAGAAAGCCAACGGAAAGGCTCCATCTGGGTAACAGTGCCCCATAATGTGTCTGTATGTGTCTATAGAAACTGTCGTTGTCGCCATGCAGGGTCCACACGCAGCCCCATGAGGTCCAAAGAGTCAAGCTAGTATATTTATCGTATATAATTTTCATGATTTCCTCTCGGAAGAGGAGTGGGGTAAGACGGGATACTTGCTTTCGCAAAGATTGCATAGGAAATCAGCAAAGTGTTCACTAGGGAGTTAACAGGATGCATTCCCTCACAGTGCCAGCATTTCTCTTCCAAACAGAACAATGGGCATTTTCAGAGAAGGGAAGGGGAAAGGGCTGTCTCTAAGGGAAAGGAGGAGGGGCACAGGTAGAGCAACAGGCCCTGCTGTGGACCAAGAGGCCCTGCTGGGAAACTTCAAATCAAATTCTTCCTGAAAGGAAGTGTTATTAAAAGTAACTTTAATCCTTCCAGCCAGACGGCTCATAAAAGCATACAATTAAGTCAAACAAACGACGCGAGTGTTTTCTTTCCTACCTGTTTCCCTTCTGAGAGTAATTACTACAGGTACCTGTGCAAACAGAAACAGAGCTATGGTATGTGCAGATTCGATTCCTCCTCTGGCCTCTTCCTTTCCTACCACCCCACCCAAAGTCGTTTTAGCCAGCAGCATCAAGCGCCTGTCTGCAGACCAAGCCAAGAACAAAGGGATGGATTTCAATATTTCCTCTTTGTGCAAGGTTAATTGAAAATCAAAAAGTCACTTTTCAAATGTCATGTTAGGCACGCCACTGCATCAATTTCCTTTCCTTTCCCATCTCCATAGGCAAGAGAAAAGTGTTTGAAAGGTTGGCATGGAGTCATAGGAAGTAGGGACACAACGAAGGAAGGAAAGAAGAAAGAAATGAAGGTAGATTTTAAAGAATTGCAGGTATGCAGAGCCTCTGGTTGCAAGCACACTAATTTGCAGTAGAAACTGTTCCCCCATAGCTTCCTCAGTCAAAATGGCATTTGCATTCAAAACCATGCTGATATTGCTTGATATTCCAGCAACAGAATGACGTTCTGACCTAGAGGGATCAGACCTCCATCGTTTTATTTTTTGGTGATAGGACATAGTATGATTGTCATAAGTGACAGTGTTTTAAAATGTCTAAAAGCAATATAATAGCCTGGCCATCCTCATTTTGCCTGTCCACTTTATTTTTCCTACAGAACTAGTCCACACACCCTCACAAATGGTGCCTAGCCACTTACCAACAATCATTCATGTCCTGAGAGACACAGTCTCAGGGCTTCAGATTGCTCAGGTTTAGTCCTTGTATTTTAGAAGCTTCAAGTCTCAGCATCATCAGCTTTACTACTGCCTCAGTGACTGTTCTCTGTTTTTCTAGCTTTCCTGAGACCCAGTTTCCTCATCCATATAACTAGTCATCACCTGTGGCCCCAGATTCATTGCTCCGACTACATGGGTGGGACACTCTGATAATGGAGCAAGCCCCTATTAATTATTAACCTCTTTTCCTCAGACTTCACCCTGACTGGGTACTTTTAACATGCCAGCATTCTGGAGATGGAAACTGGGATGTTCTTAAGAATATCATTCCATTCTGCAGGATGAGTCCTCCAAAGGACCTTCTGTGGCCAGGCATGCTCCTTGTCTGTGCATCCCCTGCATGCCCTCTGCCTGGTGTACTCTCTGACTGTGTTCTCAGAAGGACCTTCTGTGGCCAGGCATGCACCTTGTCTGTGCATTTCCTGCACCCCCTCTGCCGACTGTACTCTCTGTGTTCTTTGAAGACATGTCCTTCTGCAAAACTGCTTTAGTCTTGTTGTCCAGTGTCTGCCACCTTGTTTCCCCATTCTAGGCTGAGACTTCTTTCCCACTAGGCTGCAGTCATCAATCTACTCCTCAGGCAAATACATCCACGGTAGACTGATCTAGTAGGGAAGCCTGGATCTACCACAAAATGACCTTTTTAATATACCTACAAATAACTTTTTAGTTAGATAAGCCACAAAGAAGCAGATTTGTGAAATAAACTCATCCTCAGGTAACCTACCTATACAAGCCAGGCCTCTGAACCTTCCTTCATTCCCAGCAACATTATAATATTTTAGTGATAACAAATGTGTCTATCCACTCTAAATGAAAGGCAGTTGATAAGAACCTAGTAACTCATTAGAAAATATTGTATATATGTGAGGAGAGACTCTGTACCACATCAACCATCAAGCTCTTTGAAAAATTCTACTAGTTGCAAAACATTTTCAATTATAGGTTTAAATAGACTTTTTAAATGCATCTTATTTCTTTGGACTTCTTCCAACTCATATTTGTACAAATGCATCCTGTGTCATGTTAGACTATTGTTAGTTACAGATCATGACAAAATGTCTTATTTGATATGCAAGTCTCCTTAGTGTGTCTAGATGCATTTGATCTTTATCTGTATTCATAATGAAAATATCTATCTTAATCCAGTGAGGTTGGTATAACAAAATACCTTAGTGTAAGCAAAGCCACAAGAGTCTGTTACAAGGAAACCTGGCAGTGGTGGTGCACGCCTTTAATCCCAGCACTCGGGAGGCAGAGCCAGGCGGATCTCTGTGAGTTCAAGGCCAGCCTGGTCTACAGAGGGAGATCTAAGACAGTTGTAAAACTACACAGAGAAACCCAGTCTCAAAAAAACTTAAAAAAAAAAAAGTCTGTTAAAAGGGTATCAAGGATTAATTAAGATATAAAATGGGGGAAAATACACTCATGGATACAGAACCAAGTAAACAGCGGTAGTAGACCTCCATTCTACCTGAGAGTGAATGGATCCAGCCATCTCGTCTCCAATCACCCCAAGAGAGAGCACACAACTCGACTCAATTCCTTCCACTCTTAAGGGGTCATGTATGAAGACCGATAGCCACGCCCTAGGGTTTGTATCCCATTGTATGCCATTGGCAGAACGAATTCCCACAACATCTTAGAATGGGCACTTTATAAACAACATACATTTCTTTCTCCTGACTTTAGAACCTGAAAGGAGCAAGATCAAATCCTGACTTCATGAGAGTGTTTATGGGAGTTCTTTTCCTGCTTCACAGGTGGTAAATTCTTGGAGTGATATCAAAGAGTAGGTGCATGGAGCAAATGACATTTGTCTCTTTTATTGAAAAACTAGTTCTATTCATAGAACCTTTACCCTAGTGATCTAAGCACTTCCAGAGAGATCTTGACACTGTTGCACTGGGGCTAACTTTCAACATATGATTTGAGTGCACCTCATATATGCAGTACCAAACAACTTCTTTCGGGAGTGATGAGAGATACAAGGATAATGGGACTCAAACTCACTAACATTTAATATAAAAGAGTATGAAACTGTCAAAGAATAAATACATAAATGAGCAACTTTTAAAAATTTTAGATGCTTAGTGCATGCATTTATTAAAATATGTGCATCCCCTCATCATTTTCAAAACTTATGTCTGTCATCTGGAGACTGTGATAGTATCATTTACATTAGTGTAGACTTGGACAAGCACACCCCTTCGATTCTGCCACCTGTAACACACTTAGCCTCCCTGTGTTCTGTTCTATTCCATGCCTACAGATTTCCTCATTAGCTGACCTATGGTCCTGGAAGCTCCAGCCTCCTGGGGTATCTTCACTTCAACTTCAGCCTCATTTTCATATCTTAACAAAACATCATCTTGGGGGCTCCTGGCAGGGAAAAAGACCCAATCACACATTTCTTGGACTCAGAAGCTGTCTGGAAATTGGATTAAAGCCTCCATGACCCATACCTCTTGCATTTTGCATGCATTCAAAACCAGCATCCTGTGGACAACAGTATGAAGATCTACTGCCAAATCAAGATGTACTCTGGCTCACTGTGAAAGAATCCTTCTGTACACTGTGTGAATATATGTCACTGTGATTGGTTTAATAAACAAGTTTACTGACCAATAGCTGAACAGGATAAAGTTAGGTGGGAAAGCCAAATTGAGAATGATGAGAAGAGGAAAGACAGAGTCAGAGGAGTTGTTAGCCAGACACAGAGGGAGCAAGAGATGAATGTACCATGCTAATAAAGGTACCAACATGTGACAGAGTATAAATAAAGAATGTGGGTTAACTTAAAATGTAAGAGCTAGTTAGTAATAAGCCTGAGCTATTGACTGAGCATTACAATGAAAAAAAAACTTACTGAAAACAAAGCAGTATAGTTTATATTTATAGCCCAAGAATTTAAGAGTGAATTCATACTAATCATGAATAGCTGAGGGATTACAAAAAGAAACTGGGTATGGCCCTGTATCAGCATTACACTTAGAAAACAAACTAGCTGTTGCATTGATCCAACAATAAATAGATGATAAGACAACTGGATGATTTAACACTTTCAAATAATTGTTCTGAATTTGAGGACATTCAGCTGGAAAAGTGCTGTATCTCAACACACATTTAACCTGCCTGAGCCATTTGTTTAGCTTATCACTGTGATGAGTATTTGCAATTAGGACTTGTGGACTCTTTACTGTACTCCTTGATTTCTAACTTCAAACTCCCTGTCCATCATGAAAATGAAAGATAGAAAGGAAGAGAGAAAATAAAATAAGTTAATATTTACCTGATTAGTTACTCTGGAACTGGAAGGGAATTTAAGAAAACATCTCAGGCAACTGTGCTTGGCATCTTTTAAACCTGCACCTTAGAATACTGGATGGGTCCCACATTATATTATTGTTGCTTGTTACTTTTGTTCTAGTCCCCACAATCATTATAAGAACTTTACATGAATGTAGACTGCATTATAAATACTTGAATAGGATTGTATAATGTGTAGTATAAGGGATGCTGTAGAACTTGGTTTTATAAACTTGGCATCTTTCCATGGTATTTCATTCATCATCTCTATGACCATAGAAGAAACATAGCCAGAGTACTAAGGGTCACTTTAATACCATTCATGTTATTTTTATTTCCCAGAACACCTAGAAGTTTTGTTTATACTATGTTTGGTCATTTTAATATACAATACTATTACATATACAAATGTACATGCCTTAATAAAAAAAACTAATATATTGATAAAGCTTAGTAACCACTTCTGAGATTCCAGGGAGCCACTGTATTCCTTCTCCTGAAGAGGGTTACACTAATGATGATTTTTTTTTTCTGTATGATCAGTGTGATGACAAAAGATGGTTGGGCCAACCATGATAACTTCTTGAAATAAGACAATAATAAAGTTTCTTATATTGGCTTGTTTTTCCTTTCACAAAATAACCTGTCATGCATGTAATGGTGTTTTTGAGCATTCTGGTGCTAAGAAAACTTTCTTTGAAATCAGATTCAATCTTCTTAAATACTGGTATTGCTTTGCCAACTAGAATTGTGTAATGTTCTAAATCCTTTCTGTTACTCCAAAGTTGTTCATAGAATCTTCATCAGTAGTGGATTTAAAAGTAAGAAATCACTTCTATTGCTTATTCATAAATAGCAAATCCTCTTCTGTTTATGTATTATCAGGAGAAAGCTGTGATTGTCTCACACTTTTATGATTATACCTCTAATATTGTTCCCATCACACCTCAAATGCTTTCTCCACTGATGTCTTGGACCTCTGTTATTTTTATTTCCCAGAACACCTAGAAGTTTTGTTTATACTATGTTTGGTCATTTTAATATACAATATTATTACATATACAAATGTACATGCCTGATCTTTGGGAATCCATCTGTTTTAAAGTCTTAATAATGGTATTGAGGACTCTTCCCATGAACCATGAATGGTATTAATTGGATCAGTGTGCTGAATAAATCTCCAAAAGTTTTCCATGAGTTCCAGGTTCCATTTAGAGACCCTGCATCAAAAATCAACTTAGATAGCTCCCACGTCCACTTGCAACTAGGTGAGTGCGCATCCGAACACATGTGCACACTCACATGTACGCCTATATACACATAGTTATAAACACACGCACATACAAACTATGTCAATTTTGCTGACCGTTTGTTGCTCAGGACAGTCACCTTGAACCATGATCTTAGCCTGATCTTCCAGATCTCTTACACAGCTCCTGGACCTGTATGCCCTTCTTCACTTCATGGTTTTGGTTACTTTCTTAAAATCTCATTTAACAACATCTGCTAGTTTCTTTTTTTCTTACGAATCTTCAGTCATCATAGGATTGAAACAAGTCAAGGCTTATATGTGAATAAAGCTATATCTTAAAAGATTACTGTGGATATTTTGATATTGTCTCCAGACTCTAATTGGCAATAGAGTCTGCAAGCAAATCTATCCCTCTCTCTAATTGGCAATAAGTTTGTTTAACTTTCCTATCATTTGTATATTTACTGGGTAAGTATTTTTTTATTTAAATCAGTAGTCTTTGTCTTTTGGGTTTTTGTTTTGTTTTGCATTAACAATTTTTGTAACCTATGCCAGGGTCCTGGCTTTGGTCTTTTTCAGTTTCAACATGCCTTTTGCACTAAGCTGAATCATTTGTAGTTTTATTTGTTTGTTTGTATTAAGATATGTGAATCTTGCTTTCATCTGAACACTTGAAGGACACAGTGAGGTGAGGAGTATTATTGATAATCTCAGTTGAACACACTGATTATGGTAAGACTGGGATGAATCAACAACTGAGAGATGGTTGTGGAAATGTTCCAGACAAATTGTACCTATAAGATAGTATGTTTTGCTTATTATGTGTCAAATGCTTCTTCTATGATTTTTATTTTAGTTTTTCCATGTTTGGAATCCAGACGCTGACCTGCTGGTAGTCTGGATCTCTTAAACAATAATAAATAGTAGAACATAGTATGCCATATGGCAGATGATGGTTTTTGTGTATCAATGATGCACATGGATGCTAACCTCTCCAATGAAGGGTCAATAGAAATACTCCATGGTCTGGAAAGAAAAGGCTTTGTGACCACAAACAGGGCATCTAGGATTTGCCAACATACTGTCTTTCCTCATGCATAGCCAATTTTCTTCCCTCTGTGTTGTCTCTCACTAAAAAATGCTCAGTCTCACCCCTCGAGGCTAGTATTTTCAGAGATATTAAAAATGTGCATTTAATTCATCTGAGTTTGTTGTCTCCAGTGTGGAAGCTTCTGCTTAATGCTAAGTTAATGTCTGGCTGTGCCAAAGCTTGAAGCTTTCAACACAGCTTTCCAAAACCAGCTGTGACACGTCTCAGAAGCTGAGCCTCCTGCTCCGGGTTGTTGCCTGAGCAAAGGAAACACACCATTTTAAAATCTTTGTCGGTGAAAGCTAAGAACTGTGTAGAACATAATAGGCAATCTGAAACACACACACACACACACACACACACACACACACACACACACACACACACACACTATTTAAAAGAATTCCCTGGGGATGCTGCGTAGAAAGGCTTTCCTCTTAAGATGTCACTATCCCAGAAATATGTCTATCACATTTGGAACCTTTTGCTTGAGACCAGGTTGTTACTCTGTCCTTCAGCCATCTTTCCTTTGTCAGTAAATTCAAGTAAGTAAATATGAGCAGACAAAAGTTTTTCCTTGTCTGCAGTTTTGAAATTGGAATGAAAAATAAAGCTGGGTACATTCTCCCCATTTCAGGGCCACTTCTATTCCAAATGAAATCCATGAAAGGATAGCACCAGGATCTCCTGGGACCTTATTAGAAATGTAAATTATCTACTGATTCAGACTCTCTAGAGAGCACTGAAGAAGCTGAGTCTTAATAAGCCCTCAAGGTGATTGTGTTCAGCATGAACAGTTGAGCATCATAGCTCCAGGCAATTTGATTCAGAAATTCCCGATATTGCATCTTTTGTAGGCAGTCACATGACCTCATAAGAATGTCTCAAGGAAGGCAATATATGTATTACAGACAATATATCTCACAAATAAATATTGCTATAAAATTATTGTAAGCTTCCAACTGAGCTCATATCAACTTTAATAGCATCTCTATCACTTTTCCCTTGAGTGTGTAATAGATGCCCAATATACTTGTTCTAAGTCGAGGAAGACAGTGATCTTATTTTACTATCTAGATGAGTCTCAGCAATGCATCACTACCACAGACCCTAGTTTATGAACAAGCCCATCAATGTAGGATGTAGAGTACCCAAGTCTTCTTTCCTCAGTTTGATGATGGTTAGGGCTGCACAGCTTCCAAAGAAGACACCTCACCACACTGGGGCACTTCATCTCACTCTCCTGTGATTATTGTCCAAAGCAATACCAATTGGAAGTTTCCTTTCCTCTTTCCTGTCACATGATCTTCTCTAGTCCTCTCTCCCCCTCATTTCCCCTCTTCATTCTCTCCATCTATGAACACATGTATGAGCACCCATATAACATATCTAAACATTTAATTTAGAACAAATGGTGACAGAGACAGTTACACACACACACACACACACACACACACACACACACACACATTTAGTAGGCATTGAGGCTTGGATCTAAATGAATTTGACATATCTAATAACACTTTCCATAAGATATCTAGGATTCACCTTGGGGTGATGTCATTAGACATATACAGAAATGTCTAATGCTCTGATTGCAGTCTAACCTAAATTTTGCTTTTCTAGTATTTATTAGCTGGTAGAAGTGCAGGAGCAGTGGTTACAAAACGAAATTTTTTGCATACAATTCTGTGTCCACTGGGCCCTCAAGCTTTTGGCTTCTATCATAATGAAAAAGAAACCTTGTTCCCATTTACCCACAAAATCACTGTCAACTTGACACTGATAGATCAGCTTGTTGCCAGGAGAGCTTTCAGTCCAAACAGCAGGTGGGTATTGATTTAGGGTCAAAAAGAAGAAATGGGCAAGATGAAGTCTGAGCCTTGTGAAAGATGTCAGCATGATCATCATACCAGCAGGAACAACAGCATCTGAAGGGAAATGGTTGGGCCTGGGAGAATAGTACCAGAAGCTGGTAGCCAATGAGAGGGGCACTTGCAAATGAGTTCCTACTGAGTGTCACAGAATATTCTTAAGCTTCCTGAAGACACTATTGGCAGTGAACTCTGTTAAAGGTGTGAGGTACTGACAGGCACAGCAGGTTGGAAAGTCTTTATTTCCCAGTGTTAAAGAGGAAGAGTCAGGTAGATCTCTGTGAGTTCAAAGATCTACAGAAAGAGTTCCAGGACAGCCAGGAATACACAGGAGGACTCAGTGTCAAGAAAATACATATCAATACATAAAAATGTAGGTTCTAGAAAGTTAGGTTTCTGTAAAAATGTGTAGTGAGAATTTCTTTATTTATATAGTTGGGATTATCATCTAAATAATTTTATTTTTTTTTCTTTTTTTTTTTGGTTTTTTCGAGGCAGGGTTTCGCTGTGTAGCTTTGCGCCTTTCCTGGAACTCACTTGGTAGTCCAGGCTGGCCTCGAACTCACAGAGATCTGCCTGCCTCTGCCTCCCGAGTGCTGGGATTAAAGGCGTGCGCCACCACCGCCCGGCTAATTTTATAACACAAACTTTTAAATTAACTTTCCCATGAACATTTCCTTGTGAACATAATTATAAAATGTAATAACATCATCATTCTTTATGACATTAAAATATCAAATACATGTAATATAATGACTTGTGAATTTTCTATCATGTGATTTTGTAGAATGTAGAAATAACACATTTCCCTCCACGGTTCACACGTCAGTTCATATCCTCAGAGTCACACAATGCAGATGTACTTGGAGATAGGATCTTGACCAAAATAATACTGTTAGGAAAAAAGTCTTTAAACTAGAATCTTATTCAATTGATGTGGTGTCCTTGTTAAAAAGAAAAAGAAATAGAAGGAATTCTGGCCACAGAGGTACATATATGAATATTGTGGGGAAACAAGAGACTCCATCACTACTGACAAGTGGTAGAGGGGATGAAAAACCCGGCACTGCTGTTGAACTTCTGGGTTGTGGGATTGGGATCATCCAGGCTATAAGGTGCTTCCTTGAGACAACACTAGCAAGTTATACACTAACTAGTCTTCTTTCCAAACAATTTGCCTTAATAAATAACACTGCTATATCAAGAAATGCTTTGACCCACTGATGATGTCCACAGAAGAAAAGTCTGGACATGGAACTGTCAGGTCAAAACTTTGTTTGCATTGATAATTCTACTACAAGGGACATTGGTATTTTCAGTTTTCTCCTTCCATAAGTACTATTCATTTGCTTGTTAATTTCTATGTTGAACTGTATAAGATCAAGTAGAGTGTCCATATGCTCCCAAGTATAGTTCAAAGAGTATTTCTACATGTCACCCAGAAAGAGAAATACAACAGTGACAAGAGGCTTTCAGAATGTTAGCTTTTTAGAATGTTTGTTATTACTTACTACTGTATTGTTTCAAAGCAATTGATGAAATGTTGTTTATTTGCAAGGTTTTTCTAAGAGAAGAACACTGGCAGGATTGAGCTAACTCTACCTGTGGGTCCCGTCAGTGACAACAGATCCAGGGCAAAAACCCATAGTTGCCCCTGAAGAAGGGATAACTGTATTGGACAGTGTAGCTGGTGTCTAGTGAATTAGTGTCACAGTGTGTAACTGGTAAATATAAGAGCAGTGAACATAGGATGGTATTGGAAAACCAACATAATTCATCTTGTAAAAGTATAAGAATATTCCAACAACCCTCAAAAAGGAGCTATTTTTTGGTGAGATTGTGATAAGTGGCTACTGGTGAATATGTGAGTGTCTCACCAGTTAAACCAGTGGTCGGAGGGGACTTAGGACCAATGTATTCATATTTGAGTTTTATCTTGAGAAACACTTTGTAAAACCCAGGAAAGAAGCAAGAGACTCTATTATTAAATTCTCTGCAGCTCCCCAATTATCTGTGACGGGTTTCTGAGTGTAATTCAGGACTGAATGTGTATGCAATAGGACCATGGGATATCATTTTGTGATCTCATGCTTGTGGAGCAGACACAGGAGAGTAGGATGGCTGTGGATAAAATCTTTGTAAAGCTCCAATGTTAGATATTAGTACTCCAACCAAGGAAAATCATTTTTCCTCATTTCTTTCATCCATTTTTTTGAAAATTCACTCTATTTTTAAAAGATGTGTTTAAGTGTTTGGCTTGCATGTATGTATGTGAGGCACATGTATGCCAGTACTTGCAGAGGCCAGTAGAGATTATTTTAATATGTTACATGGGTTCTAGGAACCATGAGTCTTCTGAATGAGCAGCAAGTGCTCATAACTGCTGCTCCACTTCTGTAGGCCACAGAAAAACTATTTTCCAACTTGGGTTTTCCTAGTCACATTCCTTCCATTTTTGGATTGCTGCAAGCCACAGGTAAACATAATGGAATTCAACTACTATCACAAAAGCTACTACTTGGAAAAGTCAAGGACTTCTCCAAAGGTCAAGCCATGGCTTAAGAAGTCTTGGTGAAAATTTAGTTTGAGATATATAGCTGGTTCCTAAAATGATTTTCTTGTGTGCTTCCAAGAACTCCTAACAGTGTGTTTATCTAAAATGCCTATCAAGCATCCAAGGCCAAATGAAACAACATCTGTCTCCTAGATCAGGCTGATAGCTTTATTTCTTGTGCAATTTAGGGTGAGACCCTCCTTTCTTATATAACCTTACTAATAGACCCCTAACTTCTTACATAACCACTTCTAGGAATGTAGACTAAGCACATAGATCCCTTATTTGATATACTAACCTGTCATTAGCATTAAGTTGACCTCCTCTTTTACCACTCCCATTTTGGGTTGTAAAAGAAAGCCCGAAGATCACTGCCTGAGGAAAATTCTTACCTACCTTTATGACCCTGTAAGAATTCAAGCCTGGTGACTTTGCTCAGCCAGAGGATTGCTATTGCTTGGGATTATAACTTGGTTCCTGAGAGACTTAGGAAGAACAGAGAGAATAAGGAGACTAAGAGGAGGAGAGAGAGAGGAAAAAAGAGAATGAAAGAACTAGATGGATAAGAACTTGAGAGGAATGGACAAGATGGGAAGAACTAGATTGAGAGGAACAAACTAGATGGAAAGAACTAGATTGAAGGGCTAAAAGAGAATACTAGAGGAACAAGAACGGAAGATAAG